GTCTCAACTCTCATATTTCTTGTCTCACCTCTCATTTTACTTGTCTTACCCTTGTTTCACCTCTCATATTTCTTGTATGACCCCTCATATTTCTTGTCTCAACTCTCATATTTCTTATATCACCTCTCATATTTCTTGTATCACACCTCACAAAACTTGTCACACCTCTCACATTACTTGTCTTACCTCTCATACTTCTTGTCTCACCTCTCATATTTTTGTCTCACCCCTCATATTTCTTTCTCACTCCTCAAATTTCTTGTCTCACTTCTCATATTTATTGTGTCACCTATCATATTTCTTGCGCCATCCCTCTTATTACTTGTCTAACCTCTCATATTTCAACTCTCACCTCTCATATTCTTTCTCACCCCTCATATTACTTTAATTACCTCTCATATTTCTTGTGTCACTCGTAATATTTCTTTCTCACCCCTCATATTACTTGTCTCAACTCTCATATTTCTTGTTTCGGGGCGTCCGTAGCTGAGTGGTTAAGGTCGTTGACTTCAAACCACTTGCCCAGCACCGCTGTAGGTTGGAATCCCCGACAGGGATTTTGGATTATTTCATGTGAGGAAGATTTCAAGCTAGATCAGCTAGGTTACAGAACGTCGGTGGTTCTACTCAGGTGCTCGTTCTTGCCTGAAATAGTGCACGGAAGGGCACATGAGGTCTTCCTCCACCAGTAAACCTGGAACGTTCCCGAATGACCTATACTGTGTCGGTGTCTCGTAAAACCCAACAAACAAAAACAAAAATTTCTTGTATCACCCCTCATATTTCTTGTATCACCCCTCATATTATTTGTCTAACCACTCATTTTTCTTGAATCACGCCTTATATGTCTTGTCTCACCTCTCATTTTTCTCGTATCATACCCTCATATTACTTGTCTAACCTCTCATTTTTCTTGTCTCAGCCCAAGTATTACTTGCCTCACCCCTGATATTACTTGTCTCATCCCTCATATTATTTGTCTCACTTCTCATATTTCTTGTATCACCTCTCATAGTTCTTTCTCACCCCTCATATAACTTGTCAAACACATCATTTTTCTTGTCTCCACAATCATATTCTTGTCTTACAACTCATATTTCTTTTGTCACCCCTAATATTTCTTGTCTCAACCGCCAAATTTCTTGTCTCAACAATCATAGTACTTGTCTTACCTCTCATATTCTTGTCTCAAGTCTCATATTCTTGTCTCAATGTTCTTGTCTTAACCCTTATATTTCTTGTTTCGCCCCTCATATTACTTGTTTCTTCCCTCATATTTCTTGTCTCACTTCAAATATTTCTTGCCTCAACTCTCATATTTCTTGTCTCGCCTCTCATTTTACTTGTCTTACCCCTCAATTTTTTTTCAACTCTCATATTCTTGTCTTACCACTCATTTTTCTTGTTTCACCTCTCATATTTCTTGTATGACCCCTCATATTTCTTGTCTCACCTCTCATATTTCTACTCTCATATTTCTTGTATCAACCCCCATATTGCTTGTCTCATCAATCATATTACTTGTCTCACCTTTCATACTTCTTGTCTCAACTCTCATATTTTTGTCTTACCCCTCATATTTCTTTCCCACCCCTAATATTTGTTGTCTCACCTCTCATATTTATTGTGTCACCTCTCATATATATTTTGTCACCTCTAAAATTTCTTGTCTTAACCCTTATATTTCTTGTTTCGCTCCTCATATTACTTGTCTCATCCCTCATATTTCTTGTCTCACTTCAAATATTTCTTGCCTCAACTCTCACATTTCTTGTCTCGCCTCTCATTTTACTTGTCTTACCCCTCAATTTTGTTTCAACTCTCATATTCTTGTCTTACCACTCATTTTTCTTGTTTCACCTCTCATATTTCTTTATGACCCCTCATATTTCTTGTCTCACCTCTCATATTTCTACTCTCATATTTCTTGTATCAACCCCCATATTTTTGCTTGTCTCACCAATCATATTACTTGTCTCACCTTTCATACTTCTTGTCTCAACTCTCATATTTTTGTCTCACCCCTCATATTTCTTTCCCACCCCTAATATTTGTTGTCTCACCTCTCATATTTATTGTGTCACCTCTCATATATTTTGTCACCTCTAAAATTACTTGTCTCACCTCTCATATTTCTACTCTCACCTCTCATATTTCTTTCTCATCCCTCATATTACTTGTTTCAACTCTCATATTTCTACTCTCACCTCTCATATTTCTTTCTCACCCTTCATATTACTTGTTTCACCTCTCCTTTCTCTTGTGTCACCCGTAATATTTCTTTGTCACACCTCATACAACTTGTCTCACCTCTCATATTTTTTGTTTCGGGGCGTCCGTAGCTGAGTGGTTAAGGTTGACTTCAAACCACTTGTCCCACACCGCTGTGGGTTGGAATCCCCGACAGGGACTTTGAATTCTTTCATGTGAGGAAGGTATCCAGCTAGATTACAGAACGTCGGTGGTTCTACTCAGGTGCTCGTTCTTACCTGAAATAAAGCATGGAAGGGCACCTGAGGTCTTCCTCCACCAGTAAAGCTGGAGCGTAAATTTTCTTGTATCACCCCACCCCTCATATTTCTTGTATCACCCCTCATATTTCTTGTCTAACCTCTCATTTGTCTTGTATCACCTCTAATATTTCTTGTCTAACCTCTCATTTTCTTGTCTCAGTCCACGTTTTACTTGTTTCACCCCTCATATTACTTGTCTCATCCCTCATATTACTTGTCTCACCTCTCATATTTCTTGTATCACCTCTCATACTTCTTTCTTTCCCCTCATATTTTTTGTCAAACACCTCATTTTTCTTGTCTTAACTCTCATATTTTTGTCTTACCACTCATATTTCTCTTGTCACCCCTAATATTTCTTGTCTCAACAATCATGGTACTTGTCTCAACTCTCATATTTCTTGTCTCAACTCTCACATTCTTGTCTTAACTCTCATGTTCTTGTCTTAACCCTTATATTTCTTGTTTCGCCCCTCATATAACTTGTCTCTTCCCTCATATTTCTTGTCTCACTTCAAATATTTCTTGTCTCAACTCTCATATTTCTTGTCTCACCTCTTATTTTACTTGTCTTACCCCTCATTTTTCTTGTTCTATCTCTCATATTCTTGTCTTACCACTCATATTTCTCATGTCTCAACCGCCATATTTCTTGTCTCAGCCGTCATTTTTCTTGTCTCCCTTCATATTTCTTCTTTCACCTCTCATATTCTTGTCTCAAACTTAAAATTCTTGTATCACTCGTAATATTTCTTGTTTCATCCCTCATATTACTTGTCTCGCCTCTCTTTTTTTTTTTGTCTCACCCCTCATATTTCTTGTATCACTCGTAATATTTCTTTCTCATCCCTCAAAAAAATCAAATTTCAACATCTATGATAATACATTATATAATTATTAAGTGTATTACAATGTAATATAGATGTTGAAATATGTTGTTTTTTTTTCAAAACGTCTTATAATTATTAAGTGTTTTTGCTATATGTGATCAGTACATGTGCTGGGATTGACAAATATGCATTTTATTTGGATTTTAAAGGCGTTTTGAGCTCCAAACCCCAAGTGTCTGTGAATATCACTTGTCTCATGCACAAAATCATTGCTAAACGGATATAACCCTTTTAAAAATAGCAAAATAATATTTTGTTCCGGAATATTTTACTCTGTTTACGTACATTATTTACATGTTATACATAATAGAGACATTCAGTGTTTCAACTTTTTTGGGAATCAACAATATTATAATGGAACCAATTTAATTTTACTGTACAATATTTCATAAGATATTTCATAATACTACTCTTTCATTTTTTTAACAGGTGCGAGCGAACACCTTAATTGATGGAACCACTACTCTCAATAATCCTGCCAGAAAGCCTGCTATGCAGATTTTAAAGTCAGCGACCCTTTCTTGTAATTTTGATTAATTGTATCCATTTACAAAACTATAATAACAAATATGCCGGAAGTAGAGGCAATGAAAGAATGTCATACGTTTATAAACCACACCGTATTACCGACGCCAGTGACGACAGTATGGTGCAATGATGACAACTTTACTGGTTACTACAGGTATATAAAGTTGCTTAGTATATTGATATTGCTATAAACTTACTGGCAATTGGCTGGAGATACTATCAGTAAATGTTGGGCTCATTCCGCCATTTGAGCGGGTTAATTTAAGTGACTGCATCGAGTAAAAAATCCATGAAAATGAATGATTTTTGTCAATAATGATTTTTGTCAATAATATCTCAAGTTTGATACGACACTGAACTTTTCGCCTTGTCATTTGTCCTTTTAAAAAAGATACCTCTGTACTCTCTATATATACAGCGTAATTAGCAGTGGATTCCCGCTTATGGTTTTGACGATTTTCTGAAGTTTGGTGATAAAAATGTATGTAAAAAATGTAGATAAAAAATACCACCATCTACCATCGGATAATTTATGCAAAATGGTCAGATTAAAGGGTACAAATCTATATCTTATGAAATGCTTTGATAAACTTTTTCAACAGTAAAATTATATTGATTCCATTATTAAATAGAATGTCTCTGTTATTTAATACACGTGAATAGTGTAGGTATAAGCAGAATAAAATGTTCCGGAACAAAATATTATTTTGCTTTATCCGTTAAACAATGATTTATGTTATGCGCCATTCGCTTTTAAGGCAACAAATTACCATAATACTTAATTCATACAAGCATATTGGAAGTGTACTTTTTAAAAATTCAAACAATAAATTTTTTGCATCAGATATATACATGTAGCTTTATACACTTTTATTTTTCATTACAATATACTTATACACGCCCATACTTCATAATTTCACGTTTTAGCAGTTAATTATCCAACCATTCATGCATTTAAATCTTTAAACAATATGTTTTTTCGTGAAAATGCGCTATCATGAAAATTAATCCTATTCAAACGACACTTTGTTTGAAGATTGGATTATCTCCCTTTCTAACCGGCATTCATTTATTATGACAACGCTCGTACTGGAGGGGTAAAAATCAATAGCGAAGGTGTGTGTATGTGTGTATATTGGGAAATTTCTCAATCGTTTGTAAATTTTTGTTTGTACATATTGTGATCACCCAGAGTTAATAAACAGGTATGTTAATGTTTTTTCATCATTATAATGTCTTTTTACATTAATATCATTCTGTATTTGAAATATTGTTAATGATTATTAATGATTTAAATGTTTAAAGGTTGCGAAACGATTGATTGATAATAGCCTGATCAAGCCGCGACATGTTTTTTGTTTACATCTTTTGCTTTGTTTATGATCTTCAATTCAATGTTTATAGCATATTATAATAAGATAGTATTTTACAAAGTCATGGCATGATATAAAGCTTTATATAATCATAATGAAACATTTTTTTATAAAATGTAGTAATAATAATATCATCATTATTTCAACGATTTCATGGACGATTCTCGAAGAATGTTTAAAATAGAATATCTCTGCTATTTAGAATAAAATATTACTAATTAAATTAAATATTTTGCTGCCAATTTAAAGCAGCATGCCTTCCAGATTCATGATATTTTCTTGAAATTTTTGAAAACATATTTAAAAGCATAATATTGTGAAGTAACCAAAAGGAAGCAATTATAATTGCAGCCGACGTAAATTACCAAAAGGAGGTCACAACATGCAAAATAATCATTACTGCGTTAGTAACGCAGTAGAACTGTTGTTATAAAAACTGAAAAATTAGTCATTAATCGCACAAAACATGTAAATTATTACTTGAATCGTGAATCTTTTTACTTTTTCAAATATCTCAAGTTTTATTTTATCTCCATATTTTGGCTCATCTGGAGGCATGCAGTTTTAAGTATGTTTTAACCGTTTAGCAATGATTCCGTGCATTTTGTCATTCAATCCTAAGGAAATATATAAACATAATTATTTCTTTCAAACAATTATTTTGAAAGTTTACAAAAAATTAACAATGATTTTAAATCTTTGTGCAGCAAATATATAGTTTTATGCACTTTAAGATACATGTATATTGGTATTGGGTAATAAATATCCAAAGTTTTGAAATCATGTTAAACACATTTCTATCAAAAATTAAAATATTCGACCTTATTTTGACAGTAGCACGTGTTAACTGAAATCATCCATTTCTTATTTGGCAGACATGATTCGGTACTAAAATGCAGTTAGCTCATGAAATACAACTATACTGGTAGTTTAAATAAATGTTAGAAATTTAAAATAGTGGCAATTAATTATTTTTTTTAGAATGGAAATTGTACATACATGTGGTTGCCAATTACATTTTTTTTTCAATATTAAAGGAACTTCACTACGGTCCAAAAGCCTAAAAACATATACACATGTAATTTGATTTCTTACATAGATCAGCTGGGCACTTAAAATGAAATAAATAAGAAATGTACGCAGAAAATCTTACTTTGTGTTAGTCTTAGCCTGATTTGAGTGAAAAAGGATAATTTTTTCACAGTTAAAATAATTATTTTGGGGAAAAAAACGGAGTGAGCGAATTATCTGAAAATTTTCACATGCAACATTAATCTCGGAAACAAAAATAAGTTTAGTCATGTCAAAAACAAAAACGTTAGTAGAGTCGCTTTAATATCCAGTTTTATTAAGTACATTTTTGGCAATTAACATTTGTATTATCATCTTAAGTTGACACTTGTATTCGTTAAATAAATTACCGTTGATTTCGTTTTACTTTTTCTCTTTATAGATAAAAACACAATAATTTGGAAATGCTATTATAATTTTTTCTTTGATTTCGTTGCGAAAGTATATCAGTTTGATTTATTACCATAAATATACATGAACATATACTGAAGACTTAGGATAGTTATAAATGATGTCCTGGATTTTTGCTATTATTTTCATTTCTCAAAAAAAAATTTAAACTTTGATGTCGTGTTACGTGTACAATTTCCGAAAAATTACTCGAAAACCGTATAGCTTAACTTATTACTATTTATTCTTCTTTTGCTATTCGGCAATTATAGTTACATAGTAATTTAGCATTTTGTATGACAGTGAAAATACCACTTTTTACATTTTTATAACTTTATGATAATTTCGCATGCAGCGCTATGGTTATAAACATTTAATATTTTTAATCCATTTTTAAAATCATTAGACTTCATGGAAGGAAAAAACATTTCTTAGCCAAACAAATACAATGTTTGTTCAAGTCACTCATATATTTCTATAGGCATGTTGATTCTGATTCGTTGATCTGGTGACTTTATCGGCATATCAGGCACGAGTGTTTGCGCCTTTTAATTTAATCAAGTAATTATAGAAGTGCGAGAATGATAATCTAAGTCAAGTTTTAAAAATCCTGTATCCTGTATTTAGCTTTCTTGCAGCAATGTTATATCTGTTGTTTTTTTTGTTTTTTTTTGTAAATGATAAAAAAAAACAACAACAACAAAACTACAATTTTTATTTCAGTATATATACAACCATGAGTCGTTTTGGCCCAAGCAACCCTATTACCCCAAATTACATGTTGGGATCATCCAGCCAGATGACACACCTTAGAAACAAACGAGTAGTTGACGGTCTTCCCCACGTGTGCGCAGACGGACACAGTCACGCCACTGAATCAGAGGTCGTCGCGTGCATTGAGGCTCACAAGGTGTATGTCTGCTCGAGTAACCACATGCACACGGAAAAATCACAGGCTGATAACTGCGACCAGCTGAAACGGTACGTTGTATCATAGTTTGGAGACCTTTCTGTTGAAAATGTGTCAGGGTTAAATCGTATACATATACATGCACAGTGCGTTAACTGGAGTGCGGGTATTAGTTACCCGCACTCCAGAGCATGCCCATTGATTGGCTCATTTTTGCTGGGGTTTACATATTGTGACGGCAGAGAAAGGGAAAGCGACAGAAATGTCATATCCAGATGTTCGTTCATTGGTTCATTTTTGCCGGGGTTTCATATTGTGATACAGGGAACGTGCTTTTATGTTTGACTATGATACAAAAGAGAAAGAACACCAAAACACTCGGCAATCTGATTTATACTCGGGGGCTACGCCCCCTCGTACAAATCAGATAGCCTCGTGTTTCGGTGCTCTTTCTATTACTAATTGATAGAAAATAAGGAATTATGCCGTTTAAAGACGCTGTATTTTCATGACATCAAATAAATGGACTATTCCATCTTTCATTCTGGACCAAACCATTCATCATCGTTACGGGACTTTTCAAAATATTAACTGAGTGAATAGCGATAAATGTAGTCCATGATAAGACAATATGGAAGTACCAGCTTATTTTGGTCTGCACTGGTCGCATGAGTAGATATTCAGTTGCTGTCAGTAGCTAAAGGTTAAAAACACAACGTTTTATTATATTGAATATTTCTATGATCCCTATGTGAAGCGACATTGTAGTTTAACAATCGATGTGTTTGTATTTCCTATGCCTCCCAATGGATTATCGTTACTATTTTGTCGTGTAAATTATGCATTATGTATTATATACCCTTCTAACTATTACGTTTACTTTTGAGCGGAAGGCTTTGAAAAATATTTTTATTTTGATGTAACAAGAACTCTCACGGGTGAATTCGCCCGTCTGGACAGTGGGTTATTTGTGACAACAGTACAATTTATTTTTCAGTCATATTTTATTTGCTAGAACTACAAATACAGCTCTCGTAGACCCTCGATTTAACAATGTATTTTATCCTAATTATCTACTCCCGCGATCGCTTTGGTAATTTTGGTTTGAAATCAAGTTAAATATTTTTTTCTATTTTCCAGGGAGGAACAACAATTAAAAGACAAAGAGCTGGAGAGAAAGCACGAACGCGAGATGATGGACAAACAAATCAAGATGGCTGATAATCTTAGGTACTTGTCTGATTGTTTTTTCGCCCTTTTTCGTTTTTGTTTCTAAACAAACTTTTCATTATTATGAATTTGCCCAGCATTTTGAAAATTCAATGAATTAATTAAATACTTTATACTGCAGAGTCCGACAGATTTGTAACATAAAGGGGGTTGTGATAAATTCACTTTCACCTTTCATTTCTATATGTAATAGATATACCATTGCTGCGTTGACGATTTCTGGGTTAAATTGCGTAAATTATACCATAATCACTTATTATTGGAAATTATACTTGGAAGAATTCTACATAAGAAGCGCTGAAGAGCTATAGGTTAAATTGTAATGATGTGTGTAACATAAAGGGGGTTGTGATAAATTCACTATCACCTTTTATTTCATTAACCTATAGCTCTTCAGCGCTTCTTATGTAAAATTCTTCCAAGTATAATTAATTTACGCAAACCCAGAAATCGTCAACGCAGCAATGGTATATCTATTACATATATCTCAATAGATGAAATATCTGACATATTCAGAAAGATAAAATTTGTATGACACAGCGTACCTGATAGGTTCATGCTTATCAAAATAGAATTCCATAGAAAAATGTATTGCTCCAAATGAAAACAAAGTTGATTCATGTAATATACGTATATAAGCGAGCGTGTACATGCATGTATGCATTTCCCTTTCCCTCTTTTACACATTTCTTCTGCCAGATTGGTATATAATAATTGTATGTAACTAGAATTCTTGGTTTTGAGTCCAGTGAGTCTAGGACTATTTCCGTATTAGTATTGTTTTGTCAAGAGAGATCACTTAAACAGTACTTAAACAACGTACAATAAACACGTTACGACTAAAATATATTGGATTTTATTTTATTTTTTCAGGGCAATGGGCTGGAATTTTCAAAGAAATGGTATGCCTACGCTACAGTGGAAACAATGACAGAACTTTAATAAAAAATAATGGACAAAATAGCTAGATAAGCTATAGTAGAATGTGCCACATTTAGAGTACTAATACCTTACATTCTTTTTCCCAACGACATGGTTACTTAGGGAGCGAAAATCTACATAGATTCAATAAAAAATCACGAATATCTCGTGATCAAATCTTTGTAATTATAAATTGTAAGATTTTTTAAAAGTGCTTAAATGTACCTAAGAAATAGCAAAGGATATGACATGAATATACTTTTGGCGTGACCATTTTTTACAGTATAAGAAAACGTGGTCATGTGAAAGCGTTTGTTTGTTTGTTTAAGAATATAAAATTCAAGTAAACGCTTGAAATTTTATAAATTATAATTTAAATAGAAAGACAGTTATAATTTTTGTTCACCTAAACATAAATCCTCTATGTACATTTATCTTGTGCCAAGTTTTTCGTAAAGAATTGACGACTTTAATTATAAAAGTACATGTATATTAGATGCAATAGAATGTAAAAAATGTCGTATCCTTTTATTTTTCTCATTTGTAACTTTGGTTTTCATACAACCAAGATTATGAACACATATATTTTACGCTTCATGAAAAGTGAATGTCTGAATAGAAAATTAAAAGTATCAAGATATACAATTTAAGGTCATACTGTCGGGTTTAAGATACACACATCAAGCAATTGTTGATACAAGTTTAGTTTTTAAATGTTAGGACATAGGCTATATTATTATTATTTTATGCTATAATATTATATATGATATATACGATATGTAATATAATCGTCAGTTTTCACAAGGTTGCTGAAGTCATAGGTCAAATTATATCTGCTGTAGAAATACTTTCATGTTGTAAAAATGAGTTATAGCTTTCTTAGAATGGCAAATACAAATCAAATTACAGCTAAAATTTTCACATTTTTCAGGATATAAGTTACAAAATAGCAGTCTCGTTTTACATTTTTCAGATCATTTTTCAAGCCTAAAGCGTTTTATAAACATTTTAAGCGTTGTAACAAATGATACTAGTTATTTTCAGGTCATTTGATAAAAGGCAGCTACATTTTCAAGCCCTGAAGAAAATGACAGTTATATTTTTCACATTTTTTTCAGACCACGAAAAGAACCAAATTTCTGTTTTCACATTTATCAGACCATGAAATATTTTACGGACATTCAAATTTCATATTTTCTATGATCACACATTGAGTTAATCGGAGTCTTCACTGTTCAAAAGCCATGAAAAAATGCCAATTTTATGAAATCTAGGAGTAAATATTCTATCATATGTATGTTGTATATTTGTACAGAATCTTCTACGTAATATTTATATACATGTATTTTGCTGTTTTTTGCGGGTATAATCGTCTTTTTTTAAGTTTTCTGTTTGTATAGTTTTTCATATTGTTATTTCTTGAACATGTTAATGTTTGTTCAAATGTTGACGCAGATACTCAGTAGCTTTAATGAACTTTAACCCTTGCCCTTGTTTGAACCGGAAGTGATAAGCCTTTGCCACCAGTAGTGAGCCACGCCAGCCTGTATTACATGCAGTTTGACCAGGCTCTATACTGTTGGAAAGCCATTTATATATATATTTTATAATGAAATCTCTTAAAGGGACTCTACTGAGGTTTTTTTGACATATCCGGACTTAAAATAAGTTTTCGAGATTGAAATTTATACATTTAAAGTAGGTCTAGACAAATAACATGTATGCAAAATTTTAGATTATTCGCTCACTCTGTTTTATCAGAATAAGTATTCTAATCGTATAAAAATACCCAAAAGCCCAAATCGGGCTAAAATAGTACAAAATACAATTTTAAATTTATTTCTGAATTTATTTCTTCATTATCTTTTGCATTTCGTTCTGTTTAAGTGTCCTAGCTGATCTATGTAAGAAATTAAAGTTTTACGTTTTTAGGCTTTTTGACCTCAGTGGAGTTCCTTTAAATCTTGAATGGACTCTTCCCAAAGTCAAAATAGGGTCAAGCCATTATACAAATTCTGCAGGTTAAGGGTTAAAAGAAAACCCGGTTACAAAGCCATAATGGCATCTTTTTTGTTTTTGTTAAAAGCTATTTTATATATCTTTTCTACTCTTTACCTTAAACTAACACGGAATTGTCTATGAACTTCTACTATATTTCTATGTAGGGCGATGCTTTTTTGCCATACGCAGATGATACGCGAGAAAATTCTACTTCCGGTCGATTTCTATGGCAGCGGACCGCGTCTTAAAATGTTATATTTTTTTAAAGAAAGTTTTGTGGCACATTTCTATAGCACTTGCATATTTCTTACGTTATATCTTTAAAATATTTTTTTAATATTAATTCGAGAATAAGTTTTGATAATTTTGAAAAAAAAAGAACATCCGCTAATTTAATGCTGTAGGAAATATGCATTTATATAGTTATATTAATTCTTGTAACATTTTGTAACCATTTTAACCGCTGTTGATATTTCTCAAATCAAAAGATCTTTTACAAACTTGAATTTCATTTTGTTGTAATTATCTACATGTTTATATACATACCATGTCATTTTCTGCAATCCATGTTTTATTTATACTTATACTATTAGATAAAAAATTGCAGCTGAAAAAAGTAATTGTTTTGCTTTATTTATAACAAACTACCAGGGTACCCTTTTCTCTGCGCTATAGTTATTTGTTGCCTCCGCAAAGTTCCCTGATAAATGCTAAGGAGAGCTATGTTTCTTCGAAAGTGGCCTACAATTACCATCTCTGAGAAATTTCATGTGGATTATAGACGGTAGAAATTAATCTTGCACAACAATTGTCTGAGACAACAGGTTTTAAGTCACTTTTTTTATTATTATTATCATTGTAATTATTTAGTTTTAGTTGGGTTTTAAGTCGCTCCAACACAGTATATGTCATATTGCGACGTTCCAGCTTTACTAGTGGCGGAAGACCTCCGTTGCCTTTCCGTGCATTATTTCAGACACGAACGGGCACCTAAGTAGAATCACTGACTTTCCGTAAGCTAGCTGGATAGCTTCCTTACATGAAAGAAACAAAAGTCCCTGTAAAGATTTTAACTCACAGCGATAATGGGCAAGTTAGTGGGTTTAAGACGTCCCTTTTCAAAATCGAAAAGTGTGTAGCCAAAAAGTAACACACGCCCTTCTGAGCTTGATAGCGAGTCTTCAGTGAGATGAAGGAAAACAAGGCCCGTTAATTCTAAAGTATAGTCTTGTGTGCAACCTTTTGTTCGACCAGATCTCACTCTAAATCAACAATAGATAATTCGGCTTCGACTGAATCATGTTCAAGCAGTAAATCATCACAGATGAATACCCAGAATCCGCAGTATTCCTTACACTTGATGCAAAGCAGCTAACTATTTTTGGTATTTCTAGACATCGCGAAACGAGGGCTCACTTTTTTTGTTTTGTTGGTTTTACGTCCCACCAACACAGCACAAGTAAATGCACAGCGCGTAAGGGGCAAGTCAATGTTCTTAACCACTCGGCAACAGACGCCCCATGTGTCACTTAATGGTTGATGAACAATGAGAGGGAAACCTTTTTCAAACACAATGAACACAATAGCAACAGTTGTCGGCAGAAAAGCTTAGGCAACATCGACATCTAGGCAAGTACAGAAGCTCTCCCTATTCTTCAAACAGTTGAGCTGAAATGTGATCATTATAGACTGCGACTAAGCCTGTTTTATGAAAGATAATGAGCTACAACATCGCCCTCTCTCCATATAAACTAAACACCAGTTAAAGCAGTATCCAATCTTCAACACTCAAAGAACTGAAATGGATAATCCGAAATCATTGGGAAAACATAGCAACACATAGATTAAGTTTGTTTGCTTGCTTGGTTTTTATGGCGCACCAACACAGTTCAGGTCAGATGGCGCCGAAACGGGAAAGATGATTTTGGCAAACATCGGGTGTTACAAACTTCAAACCCAGCTCACCTGCTGGAGCTAAGAGATGCATAGACACAAGTTCTTCGGGCAAGTTTAGACGCCTCTTACGATTACGCAGAGGTAAACAGTGGGCTGCAATTCTTATGCCTCAACCATTCAAGGCAACCCTAAGTCACAAATGGGGTTAAGTATTGGGCAACTGTCCATTGCTGCAGCACAGTTCTTCACGCTTTAATCACATACTCACAAAATACTCCTCGTATACCAGTATGGATATGAAGTTTGGGGTACCTTTTTTTTCAGCGGCATGCCACTGAATGTCACACTTTCGATTTCACAGCGACAGAATTTTGACATACATACGGATATAAAAGCAACACAATAAAATAGACAACCATTTATAAAAGTTTAATCCTTCAAAGAGAGAAAAAAAAACACTAACTATAATCTATATTAGTATCAAAAATAATCACATCCCTAGACATTGTATAAATAACCAAAAAAAACACTATTTGTTGTATCACATATAACTATAAACTCGGGACACCATTATTATATATACAGAATTAATATTCATATAAACATTATACAATAACATACAATTGTGGCTGTGATTGTTACATTTTTATGTTGTTTTTTCCAGCTTAATTAAGGCTTAATACTGTAATTGATCATAATTTGAAACTGACTATATTAATATTGTGGGTATGGCTATTTTCAAACGTTTTCATTGGTCCATTCAATATTTCAGGTACAAATAGGCAACTGCTTAACAAGGAAGGAAAATTGTTTCCTTGCATGAAAGAATTCAACTTTTTGCTGACCTAACAAATCAAAGGGGCAATACTCATGATGACTTATTTTACAAAATTATGTCCCTTTGAAAGAGACTAGAGATCTCTTTATAATATTTCCAGTAATTTATTTTTGGAACACCTGCATAAATGACTCATGTATATAGGCCAGACTTCAAAAAATTGGTCTCTTTCATTATATATGACATCATTATTTTCACTGTAAGACAATAATATTTTTTTTCCCAGAGAAAATCTTGGATTTTTTTTCACCTTTCCTATAAATTGTAGTGCATACAAGTTTTCAAACATAGAAAT